AAGATGTTCTCCAAGTATTCTACTTCCTTCCCTTCCCTTTTGTCCTTTAAGTGCCTTTCACAGCACTATATGGGACTTTAATGAGAAGACTGCCTCTTCAGGTTCTGCAGACTCCTGACTGACAACTTCCTGTTGACACACCAATAATTTTCTGCATCCTCTCTCCTCTCATACATCCAAGGTCTGCCCATACACTCTGTCACCAAACGATCACATCACTCTTGCATCCCTCTCTTTTTCCCCTCGCTCTTCTGAAACTTAGCAATATTTAAAGGAGCACATGCATAGCACTTTAAATCATTATAGCCTTACAATGATATACATGTTGTCATAGAAGTCCTTCTATGCTCAGTGAGACTTGTTCTTAAGTCAGTATGTATAAGACTGTAGTTCTAATGGCATGAAAGTACAATAAATCAGCAGCAACAGCAAAACCCATCATGTTGCTTTAAAGGATAATGTCATCTGCTGATTGTAGTTTATTTTTATTAACCTTTCTCTGAAGTGCCATGGTTCTATACAGTTGATTCTGGTAAGTATGATAGTTTTCACTTTAATTTTCTCAGTTTTGCAGTAGCCCAAGGAAGTTTGTTGTCACTGTAGCCTGGTATGTTTGGAAAGCATGTGAAGCACTTGAGTATCAGTATATCTTGAATTCTAAGAGTATGTCCATATCAAATATTTCAGGCAACACATTCCAGTGAGGCTGCCTGTAACCTTCTGAAAACAGAGGACTACGAGCATCCTATGGTAGGTGGAAGGAGCATAGACGCAAAAGTAACCCCTGTGCTTCTTCCATCCTGCAAAAGATTTAGCTGGTGGCCATCTAAGTTGTTATTCCCAAGTGTAAGTAAGGGAGACTGAGATACTGCCTGGATACTATGTTTCCTCCCCTCCAGATGCCCCCCAAAACTGTTTCTGACCAACATGGCTTTTTTCATATCAGCTGTGAGGGTAGTGGGAGGGAATTCTGAATTTGGAGTTCCAGCCTCAATCTTGGAGTGCATTTCTAAGGTCAAAGCTAGGGCTGCAAATTACTCCTATGTGCCTAGATGGCCATACGATTGCGCCCTAAATAAATTCATGTGGAAAAAACATTGTCCCTGGTTTTGAATGCAATAATTAAAATGGTATTTAAGAGGAGTCCTCTGGGAGCCTTCTTCATAAGCTCATAAATGCACATTTGTTATTCAGAGGGAATCCTTATAGTTTTCTTCCACAAATATTCTGTCATTAATAGATTTTTTTCAGTACTGCTGTCTCAAATGCTAATGTTTTTCCACTGAGAACCTATGATTTCACTCCCCATCCCACTGCTCAGCTACCATGTCAATTGCTGTTGTTAAGGACTATGAGAAACATAATTGCTTATAATATTTGTACAGGTGAGAAGCATTATTAAAATCTGTGAACATTTTAAAAATAGTTTTGTTTCATTTTAATAATATGCTGCTAATAATATGCCTTGCTATAATATCAACTGCAGAAACACTCATAACTGTTATCTCTCTCACATTCTCAAAGATGCATGTGTGAGCACAGGCAAGGCTATGGAACTTCCCAGAAATGTCTGGTTATTTAATGGATTCAGCATTTCAACTTAACTTTTGTTTCTTCTCCCTAATGTTTCTGCTCACACCTGTAGCAACAGTTATGACATGATTTTTTCCCCCTGCTATCTTTTAAAGTGACACACAGACACATCCTCACTGCTTCATAGTAAGGCCAGTTGTGCTGCACCATAGCTCTCATGTGATAAAAGCAAAAATGATAATGAGCTATGCAGAAAGTGTTTCCTTTAGCAAAATTGCCCCTTGTTTAAATGTGCAGAGAGAACATTGTGTGATCAAAATTAACAAGTCTAATTGCACTTAGATCTGTTGGATTGTGGCCCAAATCTGGTTCTTTTTATTATTTTTAAAGGCTTGGCTTGTGCATGTATGTATGAATATGATTAGGGTTTAAAACATTCTCAAGAAAATTTTTAAACAGATTATCTGTTATACTCAGGACTGACTGATTTAAAATAATTACTAGTGTTGGACCCCCCCCCCCCGGTTTGATCTGGAAACTGCTCGATATTTACAACCTATCTTAGTGAACTTCAGAAAAGAAAACCCTTGCTGCTCCTAAAAGTGCTGTAGCTATACTTGTGGAATTGCATACAAGCACATTCTCATATTACCATTTGAAAAAGATACGGAACCAGGTGGTCTTCTCTCAGCTAGGGAAATCCCACAACAGAGGGTCCACTACTCAAAGTATCTTTTCTGTCATAGGTGCCATCTATAACTCACTAGACAAGATAATCAGAAGACAAACTGAGATGACAAACTGAGATGACAAACTGAGCTTGGGCAGATACATGTGGGGAGACACCAGAATGGCTTGTGGCTATGTGTAAATTCAGTAAGCATGCTGAAGCACAGTATGTTTGGTCACCTTGACTCCCCATAGAAAATCAGTGGTCTGTTCCAAGTTTTTCACATTTCAGCATTGCTTGTCCTTACATATGAATTCAGTGACAATATTTTTCTATAGTTTGGCAGCAAGAGCAGCTGCAGCAACAGAAGATGCTCCAGCCCCCATTCTTCACTGACCTGTTCTGCCTAGCAATTGCTGAGGCAGCTGTAGCTGCACTCTGATTGGCTGCTGTGTGCACTTTTCCCCTCTGTCCATGTGCTGCCTTCTCAATGCCCAGCCACAGCTCTGGAATATCAGGGCAGCAGGGCATCACACAGCACCATTTCCAGCAGCAGTGACCTTGGAGACAGACATGCTTGGCATTCCTATCTGGTCACTGCCCATTACTGCAGTGGTGCTCTGAAATGGATGTATGTGTGTTCTACTCAAGGAACCAATACTCTCCTCTTGTGAAGGCAACTTTGCACAAGAGGAGCATACTGGCTGTGAACAGGCATTGCCCTGACGGCTATCACCCTACGAAGCCTGGGTCTTCTGGTCTTGCCCATGGCATTCCTAAGGACTCTTAACAAACCCAGCTGTTCCCCACCCCTCTGCCACAACTGTGCATGAACACATTCCTTGTGACCAGTCAGAAAATGTTCCCAGGAAGATACCCACACATGCTCCCATGGGAAATTATTCCCACAGGATGTGCTCCCTCCATCCCAACACAGATGCCCTCTGTGTGCTTGGCTGCAGGCAGTCCCTGACAGTGTGTATGAGTCTTGTTCATGGTGTGTGCGCAGTGGACACATGTGAAGTGAGGGAAGGGGTAGAGGTGAATGTATGGGTGGACGTGCTTGCATGTTGGAGTAGAGCAGAGCAGCATTCCTGCAGTGCTTCTCTAGGGCAACAGTGCTACTGTAGTAGGTAGTTGCTTCACAGAGCAGCACCAATAAATAAAGCAGCTAGCTGAGAACATGCCCAGGGGAGCTTGCAAGCAATGGGGGAGAAGTGGATGGGATGGGCAAGAGTTTCCCATGCTGGGGTGGGGGTGGGGGGTTCCCAGCCATGGAGGCTGATGGGATACATTTCACCATTTAGAGAGCAGGTGGTGATGCATAGAAACTACTCATGAATAGTTACCTCACAAATGCATGAATACAGGACACACATAAGAAAGGTAACTTCATGGTATTACTTAGCATTAGAGATGAACAGTCCCAACAACAAGCAATCCTGAATGTTATCATGCTTCACTGAGTTGTTGCTACATTGTCATGGTTTCCATCCTCCCCACTCAGTCCTTCTACTGTTTGCACATTCCCATCAGCTACTGCACCTCAAATCTAATCCCAAAATGCATTGCCTGCCTGTGTCACCTGCCTCTTCATCAGTCCACATGTAAATACCAGATGACTGGAGTGGCTCCTGCAGTTGCTACTCTTCCAGGAAACTCTGGCTGTGGCATATCAGGACCATGGAAACCACAATCTTGACAACAGGGTAAACCATTTTTTAAAAATACTGGTACCTAAAGATACCTAATCATCATGATGGAATACCACACAACATGACAGATCCACAATGGTAAAAAAAAAAAATCACCATGGCTTGTTGTGTCTGAGCCCCACCAGTATTCCAGATAGTGAAGTTGCAAGCCATATGCTTGAAGCACTTAAAGGGAAATGACTTTCAGTTCATTTTATCACCGGTATTACAAGATAGACAAATTCATGAACTGAATCAGGCAATGCTTACCATTGATTTTGGTAAGCAATTACTATTCCAGTAGCATCAGTATGGAACAGAATCTAGAAGTTTTGCAGAACGATCAAATAAGAGGGTTTAGAATGAAATACAATCAAGATGCCCACAAGCCCCAAAATTTCTGTCTAGGGACCACAGGATCACTCCTTTAACTACTAAGAATACATAAGCAGAGAGGTTGTACCTAAATGGAACAGGGCATAAGTAAGAGGTTACCACACTCTCAGCTGAGTAGGCAGCAAGCAAGCAGTAGGCTACCACTGCCCCTTACACTCACTGCTTCCTGAGTCAGAGGACGCTCACACTTTTTTGGATGCACTTTAGGCACAGAAAGAAGTGTTCAAACTGATGTTCTCTCATGCCCCCAAAATCCAAAATAGTAATAAGACTAAAACAGAAGATGCTGAATTTAGTATTGAGGCTTAACCTGTGACATATTTGCAATACAAGAGGTGAAAGAGATTTTTTTTTAAAGTATATAAAAACACAGAATCAAATAAAACACAAATCTTTTGGAACAATGCTGCATGCCAAAGTAACAGATCAGTATCTAAACCTATACTATATTTAATCTAAGTAAGGTTCTCCTAATATGACAGGGCCCAGTTCAGGATCCAAGAGCTCACAGGCCCAAAGGCAACCACCACAAGGCAGAAGAAGACCAAGTGACAATGGTAGCCCCTGTGGCTTTATATTCTGCCTAGCCTTTGACAAATGTGATGTAAGCCTCTACAGCCAATCCTTGTCTGACTGGATTACTACCTCAGAAACAAGCTTCCTTAGCTGAATACTAAGTGGCTGACATACAACTCTTTGCCTTTTAGGACTGGAGATGACAGTGGAAAGAGCTCACCACAGCCCAGCTGACATTGTTTAATTAATTTGGCAAGATTAAAAAGATAATGGATGCACGTGGATTTGATGAATGTGTGCGGGTCCCTTTTTATGAAAAGGAGCTTCCAAGGAGCTAAATGTTGACAAGAAAATGGATTTCTTAACATTGGGTAAATATCTTAAGAAAATAGATATGTATGTGTGGTAGTGAAAACTGCTGTATGTTGAAAATCTGTGTAGGCAGAAGTAATATGTAGATTATTTTGTTGATGGAATATTTAACAACAACCATTCATGTTTTTAAAGGTTACATGTTTTATGGTAAGTACATGGGACCATAATTAGTTCACTGTCAATTTAGTTATTCTCAGAATAGAACAGAGGTGGCCAAACGCAGGCTTGTGAGCTGCATGTGGCTGTTTGAGTTTATTTTGCAGTTTGCTGCTGACCACCTCAGGCACTCACTTTCCACTAACTGCCTGCTGCCACTGCTTATGGATGCCCACTTGCACCTCTCAAACATCTGATATTTACCAGATGTGGTTCTTCTGTTGAGCAAGTCTAACCACACTTGGAATAGACATATGTACTGCTGTAAAATGCCATAAAATGGCAGCTTACCACTGAGGCTGTATTCACACATAGGAACAAGCGCAGGCAGGCAATCAGCTGGGAAGCAGGCAAGGCAATCCAACTGGAGGGTGTCCACCAGGAGGGAAAACAGGGAGTAATGACCATAGGGGTACCTGTTCTATTCCAGTGAGTAAATGGGTGCTCTGCAGAGTGGGGGGAAGTAAGTGGCAAGTGGCTGAGAACATGCCAAGGGGGGCATACAGGTTAATGTGGGAGAGGCAAGCAGTAACATTCTATGCTGGATTGATTTCCAGCAGTGGGGGCTGATGGGATATGTGTTGCCATTTGGAGGAAAGATGGAAGTATGTGGAGACTACTCATGGGCAGTTACCTTATGAGTATGTGAACACAGGACACATGGTAAAAAATGTAACTCTGAAATAATCGTGTGTTATGTGTGAATAGCCTCCAAGTGATAGCCACTAACTTGGACAGGGGGATTATATACACTCAATTAGGGGTAAAGTTATCAATGGCTTGTTGTTGTTAGTTGGGAAGTCGTGTCTGACCCATCACAGCCCCATGGACAACATTCCTCCAGGCCTTCCTGTCCTCCACCATACCCTGAAGTCCACTTAAGTTCACACTGGCTGTTTCAGTGACTCCATCTAGCCACCTCATTCTCTGCCTTCCCCTTCTTCTTTTGCTATCTATTGTTCCCAGTATTAGGCTCTTCTCCAGGGAGTCCTTCCTTCTCATTAGGTGGCTGAAGTATTTGAGTTTCATCTTCAGTATCTGGCCTTCTGAAGAGCAGTCTACTAATCTATCAATGGCTACTAGTCATGATTGCTATGAATTATTTCCAGTATCAGAGGCAGCATTCCAGTTGCTGGATAATATCAGGATGGTGATTTGTTCTGGCACTGGGTCATCTTACAAGTTACACAATATGTGCTCTGGTTTTTGTGGCCATTTTGGGGGGGCGGGAGGAAATTGGCAAAAAAGGGAATAGGATTTATTTTAAACAGGTATGAATTTGAACAGGAGCGCATACAAAAAATAGAGGTCTAACAGTTGGAGCACTGAACAATTTTAAGTGTACTACCAGTCTAGAGATTGCTTAGATTCTTGCAAATAATACTTAACCAAGATTAGTAATGCCTTAAAATTCTTAAGAGATCCTGAGTATGCATTTTCCTTTGTGCATTAAAAACCAGTCAATAGATCTTGGGGACTGTACTTAAAAAAAAGAAAAAGTAGAGCATGTAAGATTGAAGTTAATCTACATCTGGATTAAGAAATCCCCTAAATTCTCTTTCGCTGTCATGTCTTCTTCAACCCATTTCAATGAACCATGTTGGGCATTAGGAGAGAAAAAAGATGCCAGTACTTTTGTGCTAGCAATTGTTAAGTATGCAACGGGGAAGGGGGGAAACCGTCATTATGAAGGTTACCACAGATGTGCGGTAGCGCAAGCTTTGAAGCAGTCGAAGTTGAGCGGGGAGGAGGGGGGGGGGAGGAATCCGTAGCTGTTAAAGAGCCATTGATTTAAGCCTTAAGGCGTGAGAAGGGCTACTCCCGAAGGTTTGTATCGGATCTGTTTTCTGAGGGGAGGCGAGCGGCCGTTTCTGTCGCTAGATGGCGCCGCTGGCTCCGCGACTCTCTCTGTCTTTCCCTCATAGGCTTCTCGGAGCCCGGTGGCTGTTGTTGGGCGGCGATCCCATTCGAGGCCGCGCGGAATCGGCTTCGCTCCGGCAGCAGAGGCGTCCAGGACGGGCGTCGTTTTCCGTCCTCACAGTTGTGAAGGGGCCGCGAGAAGACCCGCCGCCGGCATGCCGAGCGAGGAGGAGCGCGGCAGCCTCACGACGCCCTCCGCCTTGACCGCCTGCTTTTTGCTCCTGTCGTTTTGCACCCGGGGTGAGTAAGTAACAGCAACAGCTTGGGTGGACCGGGGACATTTTGTTGCTCTGTGCTGCTGGGGGAAGGGAGAGAGTCTTTTTCCCTTCCCTGGCGGGAAAAGAAGTAGAAAAGCTGCGGCAGCAAGTCGCCCTCTGCCTGCCCGTGAAGGGAACCGGATACAGCGGGAGCTTTCCCCTTCCTTGAAGTTTGTTAGTGGGATGGGCCGACGGGGTGGCTGGCGAAGAGTGGAGGGGAGTCGCCTCCCCTTCGCCGTCGTTGAGCGGCCGCCGCGTCTCTCCGTCCCTCCTTCTCTTCAGGATTCAAGTCCGCTGGGCTGACGGAGGTAACGCCTCCGCCCGCGAGTGCGAACCCGAAGCTCTTGTTGTGCCTGCGATCGGGAGGGGAAGGTGAAGATCGTGGGCCCTCCGCCAAGCAGGAGCCCTCTCAGTTGATAAACTCCGGCGGGGGCAGCGGAGTCAGTCGCTGCAGATGCGGGGGTAAAAGGGGAAAGCCTTGTTGGCACCTGAAAGCCATGCTTTGCAGCAGCTTTTCGGGGGCTACAGCCCGCTTCTGCGAGTGTTGCCTCTGAAAAAGGAGGCTGCTCTTAAGCCCACGAAAGCTTCTGCCTCCCACTACAACCCACGCTCAGAAAATCCGTGAGTTTTTTCTGAGGGTTGAGCGCCCTTAACGAGACGCTGCAGAACCGACGACTGCCACCTTCTGCTTCCCGAGAATTAGTCTAGAGCAACGTCCAAGCCGTTCCCGATTCCACACTCAGTTATTAATTCAATCGATTCACTCCTGTAAGCGTGCATTGGGCAGGTTGGGGGAAAGGCCATGTTTTCGCTCTCTGGATCCGAATAGGTCAGGATGGTTTGAAGCTGTATTTCTGAATGCATTTCCAGGGAGTGTACCGCCAGTGAGGCAGGGGGAGATTGGCTGTGGGGTCCAAATTCAGGGCCCAGCAGCCCCCCCCGGGGGGGGGAAATGAGCAGCAGATTATGAAGGTATCTAGGTAGCAGAAACTCTGTTTATCCTCTAAGTCATAGAAGTGCTGTGATTTAGGTGAGTTTAAAATGCAGAACTGCACCTGCTTGGTTAGGGTTTTTCTACATCAGGGTTAACAAGCATTTTAATACATAAGGAAACTAGGAACGGGAACTAGTAAAAGCATAGGATGGTGGAGGGCAGGCTAGGAAAAGAAATGTTAGTTGTGTGCTCCAGCAAAATGATGCAGAAAGCCATCTAATGCTACCCTTCATCCCCACAAGCATCAGGTCCAAGGTCTAAATATAACTGCATCACTGTAACATCCATTGAATACAGTGGGACTTACTAATGAGTCAGCAGGCTTAGGATTGTACTGGATTTTCTTTTATTTTTAAGGGGTATGAAGGGAGTTTGAGTGTTTATGCACAAAAAGGGCCATAAGATTTTTTGTTTTGTTTTTTTGTGGGTAGTGCCCATGTGGCAGAGAATATTTCAGTGACTGAATAGTATAGGTGAGACTCTCATGAGCAGGGCTCTTGAGGGTGGATACTCAGTGCTCTAGTGCTTTCAGTTTTTGTTCCAAAAGAATATTAGCTTGCACTTGTCGCATGTATAGGCCATGCTTACCTCAGGCAAGAAAACAAACATTGCAGGAACCTTGCAGGTCACAATTATTGACAGGTCTTCTCAGTTCATACCAATTTTTGAATCTACCTCGCTGTTCATGTTGTGACAGCCTGTGCTTTCTCCTGTCTTTCCTGAAGATTCATGGCAGTTCCTTTTGCCTCTTGCCTTTGGTTCCTCTTCCACTACAACTCTGTTGCCAAACTCTGTTAGCTCTCCCTGTATAAGAAATTCTTAGACCAGCTGGGGCAGCTTCCTCTGCTCTGTTCATCCAGGAGTCAGGAATCTGAATCAATCTCCCCACTCACCCAGCTGCTGAAAGTAATCATGCCCCCTTCAGTTGGAGCTCTCAGGACATCCTGCTTTCAGATGCAGTTCTCAGGAGCACATGGTCACTTAGAAGAGAATCTCTGGCCTGCTCCAGGTCACTCACCTTTGTGCTCTGACTTTGCCTCCTCTTTCACTAAAGCTCTGCTGCCAAAATCCTGTTAGCTTACCCTGTTCACTCACTCTCCGGGAGCTCACTTGTTTGGACAGAAAGTCCCTAGACTAGCTACAGTTAGCTTCCTCTGCTCTGTGCAGTTAGGGGTCAGTTGTTTTTGCTTTTTCTTCCTCTGCTGCTATGTGAGACAACTGCTTACTCACTAACATGGTTGCTCTAGAGTAGCACTTTCACCGCTGCCTTGCTCTCGGCCATGTACAACCTACCTGGCCACCCACACCTTTCCTTTGCTGCTCATGTGTCCACATTCACCAAGGCATGCAGCATGAGGCTGCCTCCCTCCGGGACCCCGGCACATGCAGGGCATCAGTGTGGGCACCTGTGCCAGGGATGGAGGGAACATGTCTGGGCAGGCAGACATTTCCAAAGAAGTGACTGGCTGTTCAACAGTGATAGCGGGGTAGGGAGCAGCAGGGCTTGTTGGTGGCCATAAGGACTGCTAGGGACCAGATAGGAGAGAAGGTGCAGGAGAGAGGTGGAGCAGGAGGATGGATTGCTTGGGGTACTCGTCCTGTTGGTGCTCCAGTACAGCAACTAGACAGAAATGCCAGGAACAGCTGCCCTCATGGTGCTCTAGTGCATATTCGCTTCATGTAGCAACAGAGAAAAAAAAAACCCAAAAACCATTCTGGTTCCTGATTCCTGACTGAACAGAGGAAGCTACTGTAGCTAATCTAGGGACTTTCTGTAAGAGCAAGATAGCTCCCAGAGAGTGAGTGAACCGGGTAAGCTGGGTAAGCTAACGGGAGTTTGTCAGCAGAGCTGTAGTGAAAGAGGAGACAAAGACAGAAACAATGCCCCGCTGCCACCAAAATTTTGGAGCTGCAGGTGGGTAGCCAAAGGCAGCACACAGAAAAAGGGAAAAAGGTGTAAAGAGTTGCTTATCAGAGTGCTGCCAGCAGCAAGTCAGTAGTGGCTAGGCAGAGCTGGACAAAGGAGTGGGCAATCAGGAGTGGTTACTTCAGCTCTTTGCACATAACTTTATGGAATAAACACGGAAACAATGTGGTTTCTGAGTTCAGACATTAAAACAAGTCATGATGAATCGTGGAAGCCATAGAACAGACTGTTGTTTCTTTATGTGATTTCATGGAGACCATCCTTTCTATGCTTTTCCATGGTAGCTGTGTTCAGACAACAACAACAAGCCATGCCAGCTCAGTTTCTACTGTGGCTTGTTATTTCTGAACCCAACCATTGTGTTACTATGTTATTAAAAGCTAAGTAGGTCTTACAGACATGAGTGCATAGATGGCAAACAGAGATCCATGTTATGGCACTATGAATTTCAACAGGTTGTATGCAAATAAATATCTTTGCAGCTTAAACAATAAAAATGTAATAGAGTTTTAAACATTTAAGTAGTATGGAAATATAATTTCTTCCAAAAGAGATGTTTAAAACAGCTTTTCTGTTTTACTGATGAATGAGACTTCATAATAGCCATCTGCTGACACTCACAATATAGCACTTTAAAAATTGGTCTTTGTTTATTTTAAACAAGTTTTTCATTTCCCTTTTATCCCAGTTTGTACATTGAAAACAGTTTAAACTTAAACTTGGATGAAAAAAAACTCTTACTGGAAATGTGTGAGCATAAAGAATTATCAGGCAGTAGTTAAAAACTGGCAGGTCCAATCTCTTTTTTTTTTTTAAATCTTATTTCTGTTATCTAGGGAAACAGACATCCTATGAGTAAAAATGGAGAGACACAAAAATGCAGCATATCTGTAAGAAGAGCCTTCCTTTACTGTCAGACTTATTTTCTAAGGTGGTAGTGGAATGGTACCAGATATTTTGCTAGTTAAGATGAGAATTTCTCCAAGAACAGATATTTAGCTGTTTGCTTTGGTAGAGCAGAACAACTAAACTTGTCAGCAAACTGATAAATTTCTACATCATCACTATGCCTACCACAGAAATTTCAAAGTAGGGAGATAAGTAAGAGAGAACCCAGTTTCTTGACAGTTTTGCAAGGCAGGTTCCTACTATTATGTTAAGATGAAAGAAGTAGTTATAGCATAGCTTCTGATCAAACATGGATCCAGAAAAAGGGAAGTTGAGGGTATTATATTTGCGTATTTTTGTAGCTGATTATATTGGCATTCAGTAGGTTTATAAGAATGTAAAAAAGCCATGCTGGATCAGACTAAGGTCCATTTAGTCCAACAGTCTGTACATATGGTGGCAATCAGCTGGCCACAGGATTCCTCAAGCTTGATGGGTACAAGACCTCTGTTCTGCCAAAGTTCCTCAGCAATTGGTGTATGCAGGCATTCCACCTCTGATAAAGAAGGCAGCACATAGCCAGAAAGGCTAGTAGCCGCCACCTCCATGAATCTGTCCAACCTTGAAGTGTTTTCTCATCTCTGACAGAATAGTGCTCAAGTTCTTGGTTTCAAAATCAATGCTGCTCATTATACCTATTTTTCAACACATAGTAATCATTATTGTCCCCTCTGTTTCATGTGTTCAGCTGTGAGTGCCTTTGCTTACATCATGGGTTCTCAAACTACAGCCCGTGGGCCAGATAGGGCCCGCCATGCCCATTTATCCGGCCCGCCTCAAAGGTTTTGAACTCCCTTTGCCTACCACCACCTCTGTTTGCCTCGCTGTGTGCGTGCTCGCCACCTCCTAGCCATGTGCGCTGCAGCTTGCTCGCTCAGAGATGGCTTTGGACTTGCTGGGAGATCTCTGAGTGAGCAAGCTGCCGTGCGTGCATCCCGCCACCTTACCAGCCACCTTACCGGCCTGTGCCCGCAGGCACCCCTGCTTCACTGGCCTGGCGCCCAGTGCTGCCGCCTTTCAGCTGTCCCCCTGTTGAAAAAGTTTGAGGACCCCTGGCTTACATAGTCAAAATAGTGCATGCAAAACAGGGAGATAGCAGCATGTGTGTGAACCT